GATATTTACATCTTTAAGGACATTCGTAGACTGATTCCCCACTGTTGGTTCAACCCCAAAACTTGTTTGTATTCAAAATTAATTATGACAATGCATATTTATATTGAAACAAACTATGATAAAGGGAATTATATTATATAACAAAGGGCAAGGTCACCAGAGTTCAACTATGTTTTAAATAAAAGCAGTTTACAGTATTAGCAGTAGTTCCCTTTCCGTAAATTTGCCAAAATAAAAAAAAATCTTCTACAACCAATAAACCATAGACTAAAATTCTATACATGTCAAAAACAGCTTTCACCTTCATTTATTGTTTAGTTTAGACAGGTTTCATATAAAAAAAAATGCATTGAACTGTGAACCATCTACTGTAAAATCTGTATTAGAAACCGCGGCTTCTATTAAAATGGCACAATGCAATAGAAGGGATGTGGCTTTTATTAAGAGCATCTACACATACGAGTAATGGTGAATTTTTGGTTCTCAATTGTTCAGAAAGAATGGGTGCGACTTCTATTAGGGATGCAGCTTCTAATACAGATTTTACGGTAATTGTACATATATCTATTATAAATTTAATATATAAATATTAATTATCAAAAATACATATTGACATGAGGAAAATCATAAAAACATCTAGGATAGAGGATTTTTTCAGTTATTTCAAATCGTCAAAACAGTTCTTAGATATTAGACTTTAGTCAGCATATCTGAAGCCTATAATTTTCAACATGTCATGGCCTTGGCTCTGAGGTTAGCTGAGTGATATATTAAATCACCTGATTACTATGGTAATTGTACTTCGCTATAAATAGAATGTCAGATTGGTAATTACCAGTTATAGCTGGGGACTACTTTAGGTTCTGAGTAGTGTATGTAAGAAAGTATTGGTTATGTGTGCTATAATAGCTGTGTAATGCATCATTCTACTAAAGACGCTCTGTAGCTGTATTTCAGGTTTGTATCTCGGCGTAACGTACGTGTTGATACTTTCCGGTAGTGATTTCATCATGTATATATTAATGTATGCGAGTAGGGTTTAAAGAAGGTTCAACTGGAATTGAAAATTTAATGTGATTTGCTTCATATTTTCAATGCCATATGCATTTTTTTGTCAGAACTGTCAAAACTGAATAATAAATAATGGTGAAAGCTGTTTTTGAAGTTTGTGTAATCTGTGTTCAGGGACTGTTAATGTTATTCATGAATACCGTTAAAATACAGAACACATAAATATATGGGTTTAATGAACACTAGCCTCGAACATTTGTGACATGTGACAAGACAAGTGAATTCTTGGCTTAACATGTTTTTAGGGTTCACCATTAAAACTCAGGGGGTGTACAAAAAAATCTGCAATGAGAGAATATTGGGGGGGTCCTACAGGAAATATTTCACACACATTTTAAGAAAAATACAAAAAAAAAAAACTGCCACATTATCAAAAAAAAAAACATCTTGCTCACAAAATTCACAATTTTTCTCCTTTCTAGATTATACAATTGTCAACCCCTTAGTATATATAACTATTATTTCTATATGCTGTTTTTAAGACTACTGATTTGTGTTGGTGATGAAATGTTTATTACATACATCATTTTTCACAAAGTTCAAAATAGAATATTGTATTTTTTTCTACTGTGTACTAGATTTTAAATTGTATTGTTAAAGAAGAAATATATTTGTAAATTATACATTTTTACAACTGTACACTTTAGCAGTTTGCAAAATTAATACTTAATAAGCAATTAATTTTTTAATCTTTCATTGTATGTTTATTTTTCCCATATATACACATATTTTTGTGGTGTGTTGTGATTCAGATGTTTGCTTTGACAATTACTTGACCTTTGGGGATGGATGGAAAATTTCGATCTGGTGTAAAGGAAGTCACCAGGACATTGTTTACTTTGTGTCCAGCTGACCTACATGACTGTCACACGCAACGTAATATTACCGTAATTGGTATAGTACAGGTGTGATGGTCAAATACCAAAATGGCAAC